TTAAAGTTACAACAATGGAATATACAACTATGACTCTATTTATGATATCAAGCATATGACATCTAACAAAAATTATCTGTTCAAGACCTGCTCTTATCTGTTTTCATTATTACATTTCATGAACAAAACCAACTAAGGTCAGACACTTTTTGTGCTATAAGTTACATGCTGTTTTCTAAGCCTTGCTAACCATGAACAATTCTTCATTATGACAAATGTAAAAATCTGAACATTGTGCTGTTCTTTTTGTTCATTTTTAAAGGAATGAAAACACCATTAATTTTACTAGCATTAATTTCATTAATTTCATATGCAATTGTTTCCATTTTACTAGACTATTCTGAGTAAATGAAAGGTATTTTAAATAAAGAATTTTGAAAGATACATAGATTTTTTAAATCTCTGAATAGCACTTAACAGGACAGGGGGGAACATTAGTTATTTTGACTGTTTACAATATGCAACTTTAGTGATCAGTAGTTTTCATCATAAAACCAGCCCACATAATCTGGGCAAAATTGACCTTCCCAGTTATGGGGAGCTTCTGCAGAGGTTCTGCTGCTTCTTCCTTTGTCTGCTTCAAAGTGGTGGTTGCTAGGAAAAAAAGGCAAATGAAGATAATGGTCACTGGTGAACCAGGAAAGTAGAAGCTCTGTATTGGGGAATAGATTGTTTGTTCTTTAATATTAACAGCAGAAGTACCCACTCAAAAATATACACTGGCAATAAACTTTTTTCTCTTTTCATGTTTGTGCACCGCACCACCTGGCTATCCATGAATAAGAAAGGAATGGGCTTCCCACAGGCAGGGCTTTGCACAAAGAGCAGGATACTGCTGGACTTCCACAGAAGGACCCTATTCCTTCTGTATCCTCTGTTTCTGGGACAAATAATTTTCTACAAACGCTTCATGTAGGAGGAAAGGATGATCTAGAGAATACTCAACACTAGATCAAAGCTCAGGAGAAACCAATATTTCAGTTCAGTTCATCTTTGATTTGTAAAAAGCCATAGACTTTTTATGTGATTTATGAATGGGAACAAAGATTATCTTGCCAACTTTTAGGTGTTTGGCTCCTAAGGTAGAATATCCAAACCTGAGTTAGGGAATTAAGTTCCCTCTAGAATGTCTGGAGACAGGTAGATTAATAAGATTTGTCATGCCTTCTCCTTGGTCACAGCCCTTCAGCCCTCTGCAGGAGCATAACTATTAGGGGGTGACTGGGGCAGTACCCCTGGGCACTGACCTCAGGGGGTGGGGTGGGGGCAAAAATAACAGTAGCAGTTGCTGCTGGCTGGCCATGCTGTGACAGCTGGCAGCCACCACTGCCCAGGGTACACAGCTGCTTTATTATGTCTCAGGCCTCCCCTTATATTTCTCTACAGAGCATGGCCTCCAGCCTATCTTGTTCTCTTTAAAGGACTCTGTCCCTTCTCCCTTATAACGAGGATTTAAAAGGCCTTCCCTGTTAAAAGTACAGGGGAGAGAACAGGCTGTCAATTACCAGGCTTCCCTGGGGACAGGAGGACCTAAGGAGCAGCCCCCTATTGCCCCCTAGCTAGAGAGCTTGCCTTTGTGGCTCTCCCACTGGGGGGGCGGGGGGGGGGCCTGAAATGTCTTTACACACGCACACACCTTTTTTGCCACCTTTCCTAGTGCTCCATATTTTCCCATACTACATCTAGACAAGAGGTAAACAAAACAACCCCCCCTTGTTACATACCTGTACTATATTGACTGCCAAAATAATAGTACTTAAACTTTCTACAGAATCATTGCCTTAAAACAAACAGATTACCTCAGATTTTCAGAGTAAGTAATTCTGTTGGAGGGGAATAATGCTGCATTATGTTTCACCTTGTGAGGAATCATCTGTCTTCTCAAATCAGTATCGCACAGAATTTCTAAGACTCTTGCACCAAAGACATTGTTGTGTCTTAGTCTATTCTTAGGGTCCTTAGTACATTCTGTGACAAATTCTATTTGAAGGACCAAAGTAGCTGCTAAACAAAGAACAGAATGTCCTTGCCCCCATGAGTGAAAAAGGTGGTTTGTTTTAGATGCATGGCACAAAACCAAAAAAGATTAATAACACATCTATGAAAAGGAAGATAAACTCTTGCATATTATGAGGAATTTGCAGACAGTATTAGATGAGCCTGGTGAATGGCCCAGAAATTACTCAGTCACCATAGGTAGAGAAGGAACCTTGTAGAAGTAGCGGCCAGATACATTTTAGGGAGCTACTCAGATGTAACCAATACTATAACCTAAAAGCAGGAGTTTGATAGTATGCACCTGAATTGCCCCATTTTGCAAACTTCCCATGATACACAGTAAGGTGATTATCAAAGAATTCTGACCTCCCAGCCATCATGTTAAGCTTCTCCAGAACTATGGATACATCTCTCAGGATTTAGAGGAAACAATTAATCTCTGCTATGAGTGATATCATCAAGGTCAGTCCTGTTTTATCATCACCTTTGTTATAACAGACTAAATCTCTTCCAACTTTGACTGGGCTTGGGAAGCTTGAAAAATGTTTCAGACCTAGGTTTTATGAGGGCTGGCAAAAACGTCCAGCAGTCTGACATAGTTAACTCTACTCGAGAAATATCTGTGGATTAACAGATGCCTCAACCAGTTGGCTTTTACCCATGGACAGTTCAGTGGAAACAACATTCTCTCTTTGAAATGTGTAGGAAAAATGTTTTCCTGGTTAGGCAAAGTATCCAGACTTCTGTGGCTACATTGCCCATAGACTTTGAAATGGTTCTTCATAAGTTGTTGAATAGAATACTATATAGGGCTTTTGTCTGAGAATTTTACATATGCTGCCTTGAGATATCTGTACTCTAGACTATAAATAGAAGATGATATGGTGTTATTAGTTTGTTCTCAGAGAGACTTCCAGAAAGCCTCTTGGCCAAGGTTAATGTTCCAGTAATCAGATTGGTAACCAAACCAAAGTGGATTAGTAACTAAACCAAACTTTGCTAACATGCAGCCTTTTTCATGCTAAAAGTTTGATTCCTATTTCCTTTCATCAATGTGTTTCTGCATTAAAACAAAAAGAAAAGTGGTAAGTTAAATTGAGTAACTAGAGAACTTGCCATTGTAGCTCTCCCCTGGGGTGGGGGAGAGCCTAAAACACCTTTACACATCCCATTCTTGCCACCTCCTCCTAGTGGTGGAAATTTCACCAAAATATATCTAGGTAATAGGTAAATGAAACAAAAGCCCTTAGTTGCTACGTACCTGTATTATACTGATTGCCAAGAGAATAGTAGGTATATTAATGCACCAAGTAGGTGTGTTAAATAATTCTGGGAGACAGAAGGAATGTGCATCATTTCCTGATGTCCATAGTACAGGTTTTTTTCTGGACTGTTTAGGTTCAAGGTCCTGGCATCTCCTTTGAATCCCCAAAAGTCAAAACATGAAAATGAGGCTAGTAGAGTTTTCCTAATAGAGTATTAAAACCATTAGAATTTATGACAGACAAGCTGTCGCACAACGTATAAAGCTCTCAGAGCTCCCCTGACTGAATGCAATCAAAATAGCATCTAAGTAAATAAGTATTTTTGCTCAGGGCCTTTAGAAGATGAATACTCTCATGATGAATGCCTTTGGAGCAAGCACAGGTAAAATACCTTTACCTTCCACTGATATACTTCTTGTCTACAGGAGAACCTTAGGGATTTCCTGTTTGTATGCATAGGAAAGCTTTACCTGATTCTGTTTTTTCCTGAAAATCCCCTTTGTAAACACTGACTTTTAAATCTTTTTGGCTATCCACGTGAAACAGTTGGGCAGTCACAAAGAGGCTTAAGGGTTTTACATCAAAAATTAGATGTCATCCCTCAGTGGACTTGGTCTGTGAAGATGAAGCTTATCCAGCCCACCTGGGAATTTGTTTGGCAGGATCACTAGGGGCTGAAACGAATCCTTTATTTATCTCCCACTTTAAGGATATTGAGGTATTTCTTCTAGGTTTATTTATGAAACAGAGTTCCTTGCACTAAAATATTTGTTCCTTGCACTGAAATATTAACCCCTCTGACACCAATTCTAGGTCTGTTGAAGGGAGATTTAAATCTTGCCCAGATACTGTTATCAGTGCTAGATGAAGATAAAGATAGGACTGCTGCTGGTGGCTGAAGCAGGTCTGCCTTTAACAAGCCAGTAAGGTTCATCTCTCTCATGAAATTCAGAAAATAAGAGCTATTTTCCTGTTTCAGTATTTTGTGGTAGTGGAGTCATCCTATCTGAGAGTCAACAAGTGGTTAGCACTGATACTGCATTTTGTTAGTCCTTTTCCTGTTTCTATGGAGAATGGAAATCATAAATGTTCTTGTTCCTCCTTCCACTTCAATTAAACATACAAACAAAAGTGGCAGCAACTTAAATACCTTGTGCAAAAGCATGGCTCAAGCAAGGATTGCATAGCCATAGAGACATCCCATAAATGTAGGGTTATCATCATCATCACAGAATATAACAACTATGGAGGCTGAACAGGACCTGGTTCAGTAGGAGCAAAATGATAGGTAAATCATTTCCAGTTGTCATCTTTCAGTATTACCTACTAACTATAAATGCCCCTTTCCTCTACAAAGAGGAACTTCTATGTTTCATTTTTGAGATCTGGTTTGCATAGAAGTACTGTTATTGCAAGACAGATTATAAGAGCCTCTTGCAAGATAAGGCAAAACTATAAATCATTTTAATAGGTAACCAAATGAACGTATTGAAAAAATGGATTATGACTTTATTAACGCCATTGAAAAGTGTTATGAGCAGGGATCCAGGTTTTCCATCTTCTGCAGAAAAAATGAAAAAAATGTGGATTTTTCCTTTTAATCAAGAAAAAAACCCAGGTTTTTCATTTTAACAGATAAACGCATGGATTTTAGACTTTTGCAAAGAGCTCTCTGCAGGGTGGCAGAGTTCCAGCCTGCAAGGGGCTTAGGGGAGTGGGAGTAGGGTGCTCAGGCAGGGGGCGCCATGTGCATGATCACACATGCAGGCAGCCTGGAGAGCAGCTCCCACAGGTAAGTTCGGCAGCGGTTGGGGGGGGGGATTGAGGCCCCCATGTGGAGGGAGGAAGGAAGGGAGTGAGTTGGGCAGGGCTGGGGCTGCTGCACACCCCAGGTGGTCCGTGGGGTTTGGGGCCAGAATGCATGGCCACAGGGCCTGGGTAGGGAGTGGGACATGGCTGTGGGCAGCCCATCTGGGGGCAGGGGAGCTGGCTCCTTGTTGCGCACATTCCTGGGGGGAAGGGGAGCACATGCCCCCCCAGATCTGTGTGGGGAGGGCTGCCCATTGAGGGCTTGGTCACCAAGCCTCCCCACCTGGCTCCACTTTGCCCTGCCACACTGGGTCCTGCCTGTTGGGCTATGGAGACCCTGAGGGGAGGGCAGCATGGCGGGGAGCCCCAAGCCTACAGCAGGCAGCCTGCATCTGCCCCCCTGCCATGGGCTCCACTCGGGACGTGTTGCACATAGGGGAGGGGGAACCAGACTCCATGCTGTGCTCTGCTGTGTGCGGGCCGTCTCCCGATCTCGGGGGCGAGCCGGGCCCGTCTTTGTGCACACAGGCCGTGGCCAGCAGCCCGGGCACGCGGGGCCGGAGAAAA